TAGGGTATGTGTCAGTTCGGGCACAGTACAGAAGGCCACTACTCCCCTTTTTTTTTTTAAAGTTTCTTTATACAGGGATAATAATTCCTAACTGGTGCACATCATATGGGGTCATTTGAAGAGCACTTGACAAAGTATAGACAGTCCTAGCAACGGGAGAGACTTTTCCCCTTTGTTATTGGTGATAACAGAGCCAACCCTCAAGCGGTCTGGTGGCTGAAGAAAGACCTCTGCTCGTGGAGGACCTTTCTTCCTCCACAGAAGAAAGATGGACCTCCATCCGTCTTTTCTGAAACGTGACCTCCCTGAGCTGACCCCAGAGCGACTGCCCGCTGGGATGGGAATTCCCCAAACTGGGGAAGGGAACCAGGTTCCCGAGTCCTAAAAGGTGAAACTGGTTCCATGTGGCACTTGTGGCTTAAGCCCATGAGCACCGGTAAAAACAGGATTTTTAAAGGACACGCCTCTCTTGCCTCTCCATCTTGGTCAACGGCCATTTGGCCAAGAGCTGGAGTGTTGTGCGCAGCCAAAGAACTCCCGGTCCTTCCCACCTCGGCACCGGCCTGGGACATAGGAGGGATTCCTTTTGACCTCACCTGCAGAACGGAGGTGATCTTGCTCCTCCTCTGAAAGGACAGCTTCTTTGTTTGTAGGAAATAGCTCTCTCGCTTGCTTGCACTGTATCATGTCCTAGGTGGTCATTTTCCCTCCTCACCCCAAGCCCCCCCTCGTCTCCCTTTCCCACTGAGGGTGTGTGTGTCTACAGGCCTTCACTCTCACATCTAAAGTGCACCCTGAGACATTTTTTCCTTAAACAATGTATAGTAACTTTTTGTGCATTGCATGTATTTTGCATAAAAGCTGAGAATTCCAAATCTGATTTTGTTACTTTTCTTTTTTAACTGAACACCATGTTTTTAAAACTCTGCTTGTTGCTGTATGACTATATTAAAATGTGTGTATGTTTTTTGTGTATAAGTACTTCTAGCTAGTAGGTAGGGTTCCACAGGACACATTCCCCACATTTTCTGTATCATTTCCCCTGGAGATGAACAGGCAGGTTGTTTTCAGTTCCTCACCACCACGACCAGCCCCATAAAAATCTGTGCGGGATTTTTTTTCCGAAGGTCAGTCATTGGGTCCTAAGATATACCTTGCTTAAATTAAGGTAGATTCTGTTCAAGCCGTGTTGATAACAAAGCCAATGCCGGGTCACTTTGCCCAAGCCTCTTCTCCCTGGGAGTGTATGTGTCTGTTCATTTGTACAAGGAGGGGTTTTGATTAGAAACTTTCTGATGGTGCTCTTTGTACTTAGATCCGACCACTAAGTTTTGAGCCAGCTGTGTTTCACAGACCAATGGAGGAACCTGTGGTGGTCCATCATTCAGATATTTGGAAGCAGCCAGTTGTTCAGCAGCTTGTGGACACCCCCTAGGACGCCTTGTTCAGTGGCTGTCCTAGAGGTATTTGTGTCCTTCAGGTTCCCAAGCATGTTCCTTCTCTTTCTTGTGGAGAGCTGATGTGGATTCGGGCTTGCAGGGGGCCTACGGTGACTTAGGAATTTGGTTTCAACTGTGTTCACCTTTGCATTGGCATCCATCCATCATCCATCCATCATCCATCCATCATCCATCCATCCTCCATCCATCCTCCATCCATCCTCCATCCATCATCCATCCATCCTCCATCCATCATCCATCCATCCTCCATCCATCATCCATCCATCCATCATCCATCCATCCATCCATCATCCATCCATCCTCCATCCATCCTCCATCCATCATCCATCCATCCATCATCCATCCATCCATCCATCATCCATCCATCCATCCATCCATCCATCCATCCATCATCCATCCATCCATCCATCCATCCATCCATCCATCCATCATCCATCCATCCATCATCCATCCATCCATCCATCCATCCATCATCCATCCATCCATCCATCCATCCATCATCCATCCATCCATCATCCATCCATCCATCATCCATCATCCATCCATCCATCATCCATCCATCCATCCATCCATCCATCATCCATCCATCCATCATCCATCCATCCATCATCCATCCATCCATCATCCATCCATCCATCCATCCATCATCCATCCATCCATCCATCATCCATCCATCCATCATCCATCCATCATCCATCCATCATCCATCCATCATCCATCCATCCATCATCCATCCATCCATCATCCATCCATCATCCATCCATCCATCCATCCATCCATCCATCCTCCATCCATCCATCCTCCATCCATCCATCCTCCATCCATCCATCCTCCATCCATCCATCCATCCATCCATCCATCCATCATCCATCCATCCATCATCCATCCATCCATCATCCATCCATCATCCATCCATCCATCCATCCATCCATCCATCCTCCATCCATCCATCCTCCATCCATCCATCCTCCATCCATCCATCCTCCATCCATCCATCCATCCATCCATCCATCCATCCTCCATCCATCCATCCTCCATCCATCCATCCTCCATCCATCCATCCATCATTCATCCATCCATCCATCCATCCTTTTTCCCTCCCTTCCTTTTTTCCTACCTACCTACTCACCTACCTACCTACCCACCTACCCATGTAATATCTATTTACCCATCCTATCTATCTCTTTCCTTATGGGGGGTCAATATGTATGGAGTTAATGAAGACATTGATTCTGAAGTCGAAGGACATGGTTCAGACAGAATTGAGTTCAAACGATCAGCTGTTCGACCTTGAGCCAGAAAGCACATCTTGGCATCTCAGTGTCCTGTCTACATACTACAAAGCGAAGATGGTGATGCTTCATTGGCTTATTGTGAGGCCCCATGAGGCCATGTTTACTAAGAACTTTGCTCAGGACCAGGCACAGAGTAAAGCCTGTGGCAAATTTTTTAAAGCCACAAATATTTTTTACCCTTTTCCTATAGGAACGTGGGGTCTGTGACTTTTCCAACTGAACCTGGGTGGGCTTGTGACTGCTTGACCCATAAAATAGGGCAGAAGTGACACTATGTGACTCCCGAGGCTAGGTCATAAAAGGCAATGCCACTTTTGCCTTATGGGCTAGAGCACTAGCCATGGGGACGGATGGAGTCAGACGACCCCGAGGCCGCCACATCGGAGAAGTCACTGGTAGGCACTGGGGCTAATGGTTCCACCTGAACCCAGTGTTCCCACTGGCCCTGCTAGGGCACCAGCCACTTAGAAGAAGATTCTCTAGTCCCAGCTGTGCAAGTCGTGCCAGCTCACTCTAGACATAGTGGCGTGGAGACCAGTGGTCTCCTTTGTGTGTCATCTAAGTCCCCGAGTTGTAGACTCTCTGGGCATAACAGGACCGCTGTTGTTGTACGCCACTCTGTTTGGAAATCATAACGAGAATACTCTGAACTGCGAGTGTTAGTTTCCTCGTTGGAGGCAATGCTCAAATATTAATGTCCTCTGGGAAGACATTGTCTTCTGTTTTCAGCTCTTCGGAGGTATAATTAATTAATAAAACCTCAGGACATTTACTGTGTCCAACAGGACAATTTGGCACACCTGTGGTATGTGAAAGGGGTCCCCTCACTGGGTTTACACATCCATCACCTCACTTAGGTACCCTTTTGTTTAGTCTTGTATTCTTTGGTGAGGACATTTAAGGTCCATTCTTTGGTGGTGAGGACATTTAAGGTCCATTCTTAGCAGATTTCAGTGATCTAATTTATTGTTATCAGCCGTCATCACCACCTGACACACTAGCTCCTCAGACCTTATTCACCCGATGGCTGAAGGTTGGCACCTGTTACCAGCCTCTCGCCAGGTCCCCCACCCTCAGCCCTGTAACTGTGCTTCTACTGCTCCCTGTTTTGATGCTTTTGGACTCGGCCTTTCCCTCCTTTATTTTAGATTCCACATACAAGTGATACCCTGCCGTATTGGTCTTTCTCTAACAGAGACAGATGCCAAAGGCTTATTTCACTCAGCGTAATGCCCTTCGGGCGGCTCCGTGTTGTTGCAAATGACGAGCTTTCCTTCTGTTTTTAAGGCTGAGGGACACGCCATTGTCCGTGTGTGTGATTGCATTTTCTTGATCCATTCACCTGTTGAAGGACACTTAGGTTCTTTCCACACCTTGGCTATTGGGAGTGACGCTGTAGTGAGCATGGGAGTGAAGATGTTTCTTTGAGATAATGGTTTGTTAGAAAGACACATTCTAACATTTGAGAAGGTTAGACATGTTCTAACTTCTAATGTCTAACGTGCACCCAGTGTTCACTAACCAATGTCGTGAGGTAGCTACTCTCTTATTTACGTTTGAGAAATGAGAAAACAGAAGCTTACATGATTTCTCCAAGCTCATGTAGCTAACAAGTTATTAAACTTGAATTTGAACTCTGGCCTTTCTGGCCCATCTAACGAGTGTTCATGAAATGACTGCCCTGGGCATTGTGGGTGGAGATGGCCTTTATTGCTGGTCGCCTGTGAGGACGTTGACCATGATCGTAGGCCAGAGAAGTTCCCGTCCTTGACTCCCTGCTTCATTTCTTCCCATTTGGAAACTAACCACATTTTGCCAGAGAAACAAGCTGATATCAGTTCTTCCAGAAATACGGGCAGGGTGAAAACTTTCTGGAGAAACCCAAGAGAAAGAAGCTTCAAGTCTCTCTCAATGGGAAGAAAACTTCTTTCTAATGGGATAATATAAACGTATACAATTTCCCAAAATGCTGAGAGCCCCCCAAAACTGAGGGAGACCCCCACATCTGAGGGTGCCACGTGCTTTGGACTGAGCAGGTCTGGAAATGGATGGAAGACCCTTAGGCCTCTTCTCCGTGGGCCCCCCACCCCCCAACCATCATCCCCTACCTTAGGTCCGTAACTTAAGTGAGCATAACCGTAAAGCCACTAATAAAAACATCTCCACCAGCTCTGTTTACCCAGCTGTGCATCTCAGGATCTGCCGCTGACATTTTTAATACTCCTGTTTCTCTGTCTTCCAACAGGATTCATTGGAAGCAGCCCACAGGGAAGGGTGTCACCGAGGAGACAGAACCCAGGCCCCCCAGGCCTCTGACGGAGGGGACTGGCGCATGCTGGGAAAACGCCTCCACAGAGGAGCACAAAGGACCCTAGAAGCTGGGGAAGCTGGCCTGAGGCCAACCGGAGGTATTGGGGCGGCTGGGCCCTCAGAGGGAGGTCTGTCAAGGGGGCTTCAGAGCTCTGATCCCCCCGGTGCTCAGGCAAACAGCACCCCCAGCTTGCGTTGCCCAGAGGGCGTTGCCCATTGAAGTCGGTTGGTGGCAATGATGGAGGCCTTCTGATTTTTTTTTTAAACCTTTTTAGGAATTATGCTGTGTCTATAGAAAAAAAAAAACAAACACCCCCACAAAACTTAAGTGATCCGCTTAATAAAATCACAAGGTAAACACACATCCCACCACCCCCTGGGGCCAAGACACAGGGCCTCCCCAGAATTACATTTTAACATAGTCTCCCATGGCGCCCTCCTAAAAATTATATTTTAACCCTTCCGCCAGAGTAACCCCAACCTCGGCTTTTAAAATCAAAGGCGAGTTTTTCCTGTTTCTGTACCTGATGTAAATGAAATCGCTCCGTCATGGTTGGTGGCTCCGACTTGGAATGATTGTGAGTTTTATCTCTGTCCCCGTGGAAGCTGCTCGGTCATTGCTGAGTGTCATCGCCTGGATAGAGTGGGTCTCAATTCATGGATCGGCGCTCCTGCGGACGGGCGTCTGGTTTGGGGTATTGGGGCTGGTGTCCCCGTGAGTACCCCTGTCTCTTTCTTTCGGTGCCTTCACTTCTATTAGGTACCTACCTGGAAGCGGACTTGGGAGAAACTATAAAATTCCCGTAAGGAAACACACGCACGCAAAACTTCTCGATGTTGCCCTCAGCAGTACTTTTTTGGATGTACTGCTGCCAGAAGCACGGAACCAAAGGGGAGAACAGACGAGCGGGACCACATCGACCTGCTGGGCCTCTGCGCCACAGAGGAAGCCGTCAGCCAGATGAGAGGCAGCCCACGGAGTGGAAGATAGTGTTTGCGAACCATATAACCAACAAAAGGTTAATACCCAAAATACATAAGGAACTCCTATAACTCAATAGCAATAGAGCAAATCACTTGGTTAAAAAAACGGGCAAAGGAACAGAATAGACATTTTTTTCCAAAGCAGAGACACACACGGCCAACAGGCGGATGAAAGGGGCTCAGCGTCACTAACCATCAGGGAAATGCAAATGAAAACCACAACGAGATTCCACCTCACCCGTTCGATGGTTGTTATTATTTTTAAAAAAGGTAAGTGTTAGAGTTTGGAGAAGAGGGAACCCTTGTGCACTGTGTCCAGAAATGTAAATTGGTGCAGCCACTACGGAAAATAGCATGGAGGTTCCTTAAAAATATTAGTACTAGAACTGCCACGCGACCCAGGAGTGTCACGACTGGGTGGACTCCTGTGTGTAAAGGAAATGGAAATGGGATCTCGAAGCGAGATCTGCTCTCCCAGGAGAATGCAGCCCCGGCCACAACAGCCAAGACAGGGAAGCGACCTCCACGTCCCTCAGTGGGGACCGGGCAAAGGGAACTCAGTGTCCACCTGCGATAGACCATCGCTCAGCCTTTACAGGGAAGGGTGTCCTGCCATTGGGGACAACGTGGCTGGACCTGGAGGACACTGCGCTCAGTGACAGCAGCCAGGCACAGAAGGACAAACACCACATGATGCCCCCGGTGTCAGAATTCTAAAATGGTCAAGCCCAGAGGAGCAGAGAGCAGAACGGCAGTTACCAGGGGCGGCGAGGGGGGAGCAGGGACGTCTCCATCAGGGTGTGTGAAGTATCAGTGTGCAAGTCGGACAGATCCTAGGGACCTACAGCACAGTGCCTGCAGTTGACAGGACTGTATCGTATACCTGAAACTTTGCGAAGAGGGTTGATCTTCTGTTAAATGTCCCCATCGCCGTAGATAAAGATAGAATGGAAGGGAGTAAAGAGAAGAAAAAGTATAAGATTTCTAGCTAAAAATCAAAGTGATGACGCAGAAAAATTCGCATTTTGGGTACAATCTGATACGATCCAGCTAACCCCAATCCTCACCAAATATTAAGGCTTCCGTAGCCCCAGCCACACGCAACATTCAAGTGTTGCGTGTGTTGTGTACTTTGACTGAAACCCCCACAAAGTGCTTGGTGGTTGTCCTCCTGCTGGCCTCATTCTTGAGGTCTCTTGAAAGCCTCAAGCTCAAGACACCCCCCCCAGGGGAATTTTCTTGGGAACACCCCCCCCCCAAATATGCACCCCAGGCTGGCTTCATGCCTGTCCCCAGCGCTCCCACTGCCCCCCTGGGGGGGGCTTCTCTTGGAAGATGTCCTGTCAAGACTGTGGAGCATTTGCTTCTAGAATTCTGACCGCCCTCTCTCAGGGTTGGGACTGATGTCCCCCTGCCCTGGCATTGTCACCAAAACCATGGGGTGTTGCCCAAGACTGATTAGGTACCTAATGTGTTACTTCTGTTGTGGGGCAGGGTCTTGAACCCGGCCTGGGTCTCTGCCCGTCTGATGTGAGGGCCTAGGAAAAGACCTCAGTGACGAGAGGCCTGTCTGCAGGGCCCCCTAGGTGTGGGGAGCAGAAAGGCCCCCATCCCGACAGAGGTGAGCCTCCGGGGTTTTATAACCTGCGTGGGGAGTGTTTGGTTATCGGTCACAGGAGACAAAACAATTCCTCGTTCTTGACACTTTCCATCTGGCCTTTGGGAAGGTGGGTAAACAGCTCTGTTTGCTGGAGCTGCTATTTCTGTCTTAGGGAATAAGTTAGTCCTACGCCTGGGTGTGTATTTTTCCTCCTCTAGTTCCTGGAGGCCCGGCTCTGGGGAGATTCGGTAGGTGGGCCATCCCTGGGGTGGTCTCTCAGCCCACGTTAATTCTGGCTTCAGCTTTCAAAGCCCAGGTGAGCTTCAGAGAAGCACTGACCTGAGTGGGGAGAAGTTTATGCTCAACAAGGAGCCGAGTGGAAAGGGAGGCAGCAGTGAACTTGGGCTTTGGTGGGTTGGGACTTGCTCACACGCAGATGAGGAAAGTAACCATCAAGATGCACTTGTGACTGCCAGCACCTGTGTCTCTACCAGCTCACTGAGTCCCCTAAACAGCTCTGTGAGGCAGGCACTGGTGCTAGTCTCTCTAGAGAGATGCTGAAACTGAGGCACAGAGAGGTTGAGTAACTGGGGCAAAGTCACACAGCCCAGTCAGCGGTAGAGCTGGGATGTGAACCCCAAACTAGGGCTCCTGACCACCGGGCTGAAGTTGCCCCACCCGTACCTCCTTTGTGCGTTTCCATCTCTTACCCTCGTTTTTGTGGAACTAAAAGGAACTCAATCTGCTTTTTAAGAAATGTGTGTAGGCGATGAGTATACACATGGTAATGAACGTCTATAGAATGAAATGAACGAACGAGTGAATAAATGCTGTGCGCCCCAGCTTCTTTACTGTATTTATCATAACCACACCCATTTACATTCTAAGAAAAGGTACTTTGTTCCAGTTATCTTTGCTGTGTAACCAAGTATGCTAAGACTTAGTGGCAAAAAGATAACCATTTTATTACGTAACTGATTGTGTGAGTCAGGCCTGGGACAGAGGACAATGAAGATACCTTATCTGTGCCCTAAGGTGGCTGAGGTCTTCACTGGGAAGAGTGTAAGGGCCGGGAGTGACTCTGCAGCTGGCAGGTTAAGTGCCTTTGCTCAGCACCTGTGCCTGGCCTCTCTGCAGGGCCTGGGCTTCCTCACAGTATGGCGCTCGGGGGTAGTTGGGCTTCCTGCCTGTGTTCAGGGCTCTGCCACACAGGTCCCAACAGACAAGGCGGAAACTCTGTTGCTTCTTACAACCTAACCTTGCAAATCACAATGTTTGGCTTCTGCCGTTGTCTGTTGGACTCTGTTGGTCAAAAATAGGCATAGCTCACCAAGATTCAAGGTCGGGGATAGCACAAGCCCCGCCCCACAACCACTTCTGGGTGGGATGGTATCCAAACCACACTGTAGAAGAGCCCGTGGGATGCATTGTCACGGTCACCTTCGGAAAGGATCACCTGTCCCATAACTTAAACCAAATGCGTGGGCCTGTGGGGAGTTTCTAGGTTTGGGGAAAGATCTTTCTTATCACTCCTGAAATCAGACCTTCAGACGACCTCCTGGGGAACTTGTCTGTACCTCGGCTCTGCCCAGTGTGAGTCTTCCACCTGAATTCACAAATGAGCATAAGATGCCGGAGACGTCCTCGTCCTAACCCCGGAAACAGCCGGCCTGTTACCTTCCACGGCAGAAGGGGCTTTGTCAGTGTGATGACCGTGAGATGGGGGGACTCGGAGATGGAGGTGGGAGCATCAGAGTCAGAGGACGTGTGACAACAGAAGCAGGTTTGAACATCTCTCCATAACGATGACGCATTTGACTTTGAAGACACAGGAAGGGGCTGCGCGCCGAGGACTGTGAGCGGTCTCCAGAAGCCAGACCAGGCACGAAGTGGACTCTCCTCTGGAGCCTCCAGAAGGAGCCCAGCTCCTCCAACATGTTGAGTCTGGTCCAGTAAACCCATGTTCAGACTTCTGACTTCCACGGCTGTAGTGATGAAGCTGTATTGTTTTAAGCTCGTCCATTTGTGGCTATTTTTTTCTACAGCAGCCAGAAGAGCACTCAGACAGACAAGAAGAGTCTCCAGCTTTCTGGCTGGCTTTGACTCAGATGTTCATCACACTGGTGACTTCAGAACTCGAAAGACTGTAGACTGACTGCAAACCGGTGTCTCACTCCAGGGCAGTCTGAACTTGGAAACTGGTTGTGATGGATTCTAGAGCTTTACCATAAATACTCTTGCTGTTCAGGAAATAATAGTACCCAGGAGACACTATCCGTTAGGGACCTCTAAGTTTTCTCCCAGGGCTTTATCACAGAACTGCCTCAGGGCCTGTCACTCACATGTGGTCCCCGGACTGGCAGCTGCAGTCATCCTGGTAGAGCAGCAGGTGAGGGGCAGAATCTCGGGGCCTGTTCCCAGCCCGCAGAGTCAGACCTGCATTTCTACCGGGTCTGTGGGAGATTCATGTGCACATTTGAGTCTGAGGTGCGTGTTCCGAGGTCTTGCTGCACT